ATACGAACATGTTCTTGCATGAGGCCCAATGTGCATTTGATATAAGTTCAAAAACACAACAGTGGCGCAGCTAGAGTTTTTTGCAAAGAGTGGCACACTGGTAGCCAAGGTGTTTTTTAGAGGGGCACGTACAAATAAAGAAAACTACTCAATTTGAAAAATCAAGATCCATCAATGATTTCAAATGCTTCTAAACCAGCAATTTTAAGAAATATAGAGCTAAAGGTTTGTGTGATAGTAACAAAAATGATCAAAAAAACATGCCGATTGCTAGTCCCAATTTAAGCTAACCGCTAAAGCAAATTTTACAGAGAGCTTGAATTTATACATTTTTAGATAGAAAAGCTGAAAATTATTTTAGTAGAAGTGAAGAAAAAAAATCTAATTTTAAATATTAATCAAAAATTCAAAATGCCCCCCACAATTAACTCTAATACAGTTAATTCAGTTATTAGCTCTAATAAAGTTATTTTAAGACTTACTGAGTTGGAATTATGTGTGGTGTAGCTAAAAATCATCCCAAACACGCCAACTCCTAATCCAAACAAAGCTACGGTGACTGCTAATGATATTCTAATTTTACAATGGGCTATGATTCAGCCATTTTTAAACATGCACAGCTGAAAATCTGTGTAGCAGCCAAGAAACAGTCTTTAACAAAACCTGAATTCTAAAACAAAATCCAAGATGGCCACCAAAGCTAAATTCAAAGGTCTTTATCGCAGCTATTTTTAGACATAATGAGCTGAAATCTGGTGTGGTGGGTGCTGCGATCACCAACATGTAGTAAAGATGGGTCAGTAGTTTAAAATGGCAGTACTTGTTAGAGTTTCTCAAGGAACTTTTCTGGCTGTCGCATGTCATTGCTGTGTTACAGACAGACCACTAGATGTCACCCAGTTTTTAGTATCTTGTTCTTAAACCAAGAACATTTACACATAATTGTTGTTTGATTTTAATTCAGTGTTTCAGAAAAGTACACATATGTACACGATATGTTCCCTCTACACCAAACAATACAGTTGCTTCACACATTTTTTACTCCTTTTATGCTCTAACATCTTTAAAATGCCACTTGCGATCTCCACCCACTCGTCAGTTACCTGGAGGTGGCACCTGGGCACTTGCCACCCCTCTAGCTCCTCCCCTGGAACTTGGGCTATTAAACCAAAATGCGGTCTTGAATTTCTTTTCTTTTTCTTTTTTTTTTTTTTGCATTGTTTGTGTGCATAGGCAACCCAGAAGATGGCCCCAGGGTGGTCTTCATGGTGGACCTGTGGCACCCCAACGTGGCCGCTGCAGAGAGACAAGCCTTGGACTACATTTTCTCTCCAGGCCGCTTAGAGGACAAAGAAGGGAAATAGGTGTGTGTGAGAAACATGTCTGAGTTGGAGACAGATGGTGATGAGAAGGAATCCTGTGTCTGTATTATTGGGGAGCGACAGTTTTCTGCCTCCAGACCAGCTTTCACTTTTCACTGTGTGCATGTCCTCCAGCTCACACTGTGTTGCCTCTAACTCCGAGTAGATGACCAAACATTGGGCCTCTTTTGTCAACTTTTATTATAGCTGTGTGAAATACATACTTGCATTTGGTCAGTGTTGTAACTACACAATAATCCATACAGCTTCAAAAAGGCACAATTCTACCAAATCTTTGTTTTGTTATTTAGTTTAACTGTAGGAATTGACATAAAGCAGGCGGGATGAAGGTACACCTGCGTTTACTGTTTTTTGAATACCTAAAATAAAATAGGACATAACCTGTAGTGTTAATTATGGGCTTTTTTATAAAACCAGGTTCATTTTGGCTCATTCAGAAATTTTAAATCATTTGTGTACATATAAATAAATATGACTCTCAAATAGCTAAATGTTTCTTGTCGACAACCCTGAAACAACCTGGTTCCTAACATTCTTGGTGCAACTCGTCTTGTTTATTTTGCTTGTCATTTAAAGCTGTTCAGTAGTAAAGATCAAAGTCCACAACATGGCTTCAGGTTATCTCTCACGGGCCAACCAGTGGAGCCACTGGGTAATCATTCCCCATCAGCACACATCTCTTCAAGGGCTAAAAATGAATGATCATTTACCATTTTTTATGACTCGGCGTCGTCAGCTGGTTCAGTTTGCCAGGAGGGTCACACACCGATTGCTTTAAAAATACTTTTTCATTCATGTTCGAATGTTCCCTGATGAATGACTGGGCCCTCCTGCTCTCAGAATTTTGACGTGTTGCCATTGATTGTACCCTTTATGATTTTTACACAATCACAGCATGACTTTTGTTAGCCTGCAAAAAAAAAATTAAAATAAAAAAAACAATAATAATAATAAAACACATCGAGCCAAAATCAAGAGTCGGCACATGGCTGAGTGGTTATGCATGGATCGTGTTTACAATTTAATGTCACGTTAGGTAAAATAATGTCAAGGTTCTTGGAAATCCAAACTAAACAGGCCACACATTTCCAAATAAAAGGCTTTAGCTTTTTTGTTTTGTTTTTCAATCTGAGTTGATTATTGAGGTCCAATGTTGATGGTGATGATGTGAATGTTTACAGAAGCAGCTCCTGTCTCCGCCCTGACGCAGGTAGTTAATTGTCTCCCCGCCCCCTCGCTGTGAAAATCAGTCAGGCTTTTTCGCATGACATGGATCCAAAAGAAAAAAAAAGCACATATTAGGTCGAGGTTTTACGAGTCACCAAGTGCTGTGACACTAAAGATGAGTGTTTTTTTGGTAAATTTACTCAACTCTTGCTTGTTTGGCTGCATTTGATATCAAGGTTTGTATTACTGTAAATAAGTTTGAAGTAGAAAAAAACTAATAATAACTTCCCCCAACCCTGAATGATCTGAGATGTCTTGAAATGATTGTCTTCAGTGCTTTAACTATTGTGTTGTCCTGAGTTATAGCTACAGTGGTTGCAAGTCGTTCTCTGAATCAAAAAGCCAATCGTTTTTGATAGATTTGATTAGTATGTTCTGTACAATGTTTCTGAAGTACTCACTCTGTTGTTTCTGTGATGTTTTCCTTCCCATCACTGCAATTTTGCAGCACAGTGTGGTTCTCCATTATAACAGTCACAATCTCTATTTATCCAGCAGCACTTAAGCGGACAGACGGTCAAAAAGGTTGCGAAAGTAAGAACCTTTACTGCTTTACTTGTCCACTGCAATTCCAGAGACCCATCTGTTCTGTTCTAATGTTTACAAAGGTGTGATTATTTACACACTGTTTACAACATCTGATGACACCGACACACTTAGGTGTGCATAATTGGGTTTAAAATCAGCAGTGCTGCTTATCCACTAAAGGGAGCCGAGTCCCATTGGCTTTACACACACTGTATGATGGGGCAACCATTATGTTTACATTTGAATGAAGGATTTATCCTTTAACACTTTCTTGTGTGGATTTTCAACAGTATTTCTGTACATTTAATAAATGGTCAAGTATCTTATTTAACCACCTGGTGTCAGAGTTCTCTCTTTAACACAAGCACTACATATTTAAATCCAAAACCAGTCAAACAAAAGGAACAATGTGACCTCTTTTCTTCCAGATGTAATTTTCATGTCGTGGCGCAGGGAGGCATAACAATGTGGGTGCTGTTTTGTTTTCTCCATAGCTGTGCTGCTTCAAAGACAAGCCAGAAACCATGAAAATCAGCAGCATTAAACCATTGTGCCAGATAAAAACAGAAGTGTTCTTATAAATTAGTATTTTTTTATAATTATTAATTAGTTCTAAGGCTCTGTACGTAAACTCCAATCCGTTTCCTCTCAGAAATAAAGCTTAAATCAGGTTCTTGCTGTCTGCTGCTAGTAATACTTCACTTCTGTGTTTTCAGTGCACAGTATGTTATGTTGAAGCGCAGTTGTTGAATTATTAAAGCAGGCTATGCAGTAGTTTAAGCTACAACCAAATCAGAAGAACACCCGTTTATACACTGTAAAGCACCAGTGAAAACTGAAATCAGAATCTAAAAGCATGAGTGGCTAAATAAAATGAGCAGCTAGGTCCTTGATTAAATGATTTATTTTATGAAATTTGAACAGACTAAAACCACAAGCACAATAGCAAATAAGTAGTTCAAATAGGCTGTGTTGAGAAATCGTACAAAGTAGTCCTATTTAATTGTGGTATAGTGCACAGGCACTGAAGTGTCCTTATTTCTATATTAGACATTTCTGTTAAGATTTCTGGTTTAAACTTTCCATATATCCAGCTTTTTTGGCAATCAAATGAGCAACCCGTTCTCACTCCCAAGTTTTGAAATGAGAAATCCTAACCCTCTTTGGAGCTCTAGAGCTCACGCAGACCTATGTTTTACAGGAAAAACATAGTTCAAATGATAATGGAGACTGCACGATCGCAGTTTAAGTTTTATGATATTTTTGGAGACTAAAACAGAATGTTCAACATAGACTATTGCATTCTAACCTCTTTAATAAACAAAATTGTGCACAAACTCTTAGGTTTACCAGTCTTTGCTCTAATAGAATTTATAAATCAAAAGGTAGACATTTCTGTCTTCTTTCWCCTGGCATGTTTCTCACATTATAGGATTTACAGTTTTCTCTTTATTTTGCAAAAAATAAACAGCAAAATTAATTWATTTATTTTCTCAGTTAGTAGAGCTGATGCCTCTCAGCAAGAAGGTCGCCGATTCAAATCCCGGCCCGGGGACCTTTCTGGGTAGAGTTTACATGTTCTCTCCGTGCATGCGTGGGTTCTCTCRGGGTACTCCGGCTTCCTCCCACAGACCAAAAACATGACTGTTAGGTTAATTGATAACTCTAAATTGTCCCTAGGTGTGAGTGAGAGAGTGAATGGTTGTTTATGTGTGTCCCTGTGATGGACTTACAACTTGTCCAGGGTGTACCCTGCCCCTCGCACGTGACCCCCACAACTCTGAAAGGAATAAGCGTGTACAGAAAATGGATGGATGAATTTATTTATTTTTTACTTTATTTCATGTTATGTCATTCTCTTGATTCGTTCATGCATGTTTGAGAAATCCTTGATTCTCCTGTGGAGCTGCCAAAACACTTGCTGGTACAAAGCACCGCCTATTTAACTAAAGCTCCTCCCTGGAGCCCAGTCTGCAGCTGAGTTCCCACAGAGCACCCCTCCCCCTGAAACACTGTTGTGAAGGCATGCTGAAGTGGGAGTGTCTGAAACGGTAGGAGCTTCTTAAGACAGAGGTCGAGGCTGTGATGCAAAGACAAACGTACATACTGCATGTTCATCCTAACAACTGAAAGTATAGTTATTTCAGTGTTCAGCAGGAGCACCAGAACTTCCTCTATAACTGAAAGTGAGAGACTTCAACATGTCATATCTTCTAAAACACTGTAAACCAAAACTGACATGACAACAACTTATGATCAGGTGAGCCTGTTGAGTCAGTGGCAACAGCCTTTTACCATTTTTGTCACATTAAGACGCAAAATAATAGTATACAGTATACTGAGTTTGATAGAGGAGCACTGATGTGTGTTGGATTAGCTGCATCAATACCCTTCAGATTTTCTTTATGAATTTCTTTTTACTTTATTTATTTATTTTTACTACCGTGCACAGCCACGTCACAGCCACGGTGGCACAGAAAAGCTCAATGAACAGGTGACGCGCGCTGCGGAGACGCATCCTCCTCTGTCCGGCTGGGAGCTCTCTCTGGCCGCAGTCAGCCTCGCTGATCGACCCGCTTCACCGCCGGAGGGACCGCGATGATGCCGATGAACGACCCGCCGAGGCAGACCAGACCGGATCCGCCGCAATGAGCGCCTCCTTCCCCAAATCTGAATCCACCACCTCCTTGCTGAAATCCTCCGCCGCGGCGAGGAGACCGCCACACCTCCCCGAGCCCGCCGCCGAGGTCCGGAGGGGTCCGCATCAGCATCAGCATCAGCACCACCACCGTCCCGCCGCGCTGCAGACCAGCGGGAAACCTGGCGAGGCTTTCTGGTCGCCTGAGGGCGACGTCAGTGCCCGGAGACCCCTGTGCCACCCCTCCCTCGTCGGGAGTCCGGAGACCAACGCAGCCACCCGGTGCAAGTCCAAGTCCCACCACCCCGCCGCCCCCAGCCAGGTTCCCGCTCCGCCTGAATGCAACGGAGAGGCCGGCCGAGGAGGTGAGAGCGAGCGCTGCAGGACATCCCAACCCACGCACCGCCACCACCACCACCACCACCATCATCATCACCACCGCAAGAAGCACCGAGACGACCGTCCTCCCGCAGCGGAACCAGCCGAACCTGAGCAGCACCGGCGGTGTCACAGCCCCAGGGGGCCCTCCCTGTCGGACAGCAACGACGACAGAGCCCCCCTCTGTGTGCGCAGGAACCGTAAAGGGGGAAGTTCGGCCAGCGGTGCTGCTGGGGGTCCGGCCAGCAGTCCGTCCCCGTCCTCCTGCTCCCCTGTGCCCCCATCCAGCAGGTCGTCCCGCCGGTCGCGGAGGTCCAGCGCCTCTTCCTCTGTGTCCGACATCAATTTAAGGACCATCCTAAACTCACTCTTTGGACAGGTAAAAACGGGTCCATGTTGGCTGGGTTCAGAGAAAACCTCATCAGAATTAATGAAGCAAAACTCAGAGAGGAGGTCCAGAGAGGTGAAATTCACTGTGGCTTTTATTTGGCAGTGAAACAGATGAAGTACCTGCTGCTCCATCAGCAGCCTCCCTGTTTGGTCATAGCTTCATGTTTCCAGGGAAAACTGAGTCAAAACAGATTGAAATTCAGGGTTTCTGTGAGTTTCAGTGAAAAGACACTGAAGTGCTGTGGAGATATATAAAAATATATATTAATAATATATAATAAATATATATTAATAGCAAACAGCAAGATTATTTGTAGCTGCCACTTCCTGGAAACACAACAGTTTAGTAAAACCTATTAAAGGCTGCAGTTTGATGGAAAGCTTGAGATGACTGTACCATCTCAACAAATGAGGTGGAATTAGATAAGAATTTTATTGAACATGTTTAGGTGCAATTATAAAAGTAAATAAATGCAGATTCTGAAAGGAACATCTGCAAAATTCTTTATATGGCAATGCAATACGCTACTGGTAAAAAAAATATTCACAATTAATTGTGGTATTTACCTGATAACAAGTAATATGACGATTAATCCCCTGGAGTCTCTGCACAATCTCATATCCTATAGTCACATGACCAGTTTAAATCACTATAGTGGGAAAGATTTGTTCTCCCTAAAAATCTGTTCCAAATTGTGACAAAAGTACAGACTCCAAGCTATACATCAATCTTTAAACTGTGTTATAGACCAAGTAAAACCGGAGTTATGATAAATAATTACAGAACTTTTTTTTAATGTTTGTCATATTGGAAGTAGAGAGGAGCACTGAGCAGATTTATGCCTGGTGGTATTAATCATAATAACCATCAAGTGCAGAAAAATAATGGATTAAAGTTGTTCTGACGATTAATTGCACGTGATACGATTTTTCCCAACCCTACAATGTAAGGAGTAGCTTTAACGTTTAAAGTGCTCATTTGTCTCTGAAACTATCAAATTTTGAGAGTTTAAACAAGTTTGAACATAAARGTCAGTAAAGCTATAGGGCAGGCTGATGGAGCCTTCCAACATCTGTATTCAGTAATGTCTTATTACTGAATGCACCAGTGGAGACCGAAATACAGCAGCTAACTCTGGCCTCATCCGTGTCTGACATCAGCACACATTCTGTGCTCTGTAACGCTGCAAACACCATCATTACATAGAAGGAGGAAACGCGTCTATGCACCCGTTTCTTATGTAATTTGTAAATACAGCTCTATGCCTCCTACAGACACTTCAATCAGGCAGCTCTCTGATTGAAGTGGATGTGCTGGAGGAAATAAAATGGTCCAGGTGGATACTGATACGGCAGCCGCTCTGGTCAAAGGCGTGCTATAGTCATGTTCCTGCATTCACTGATCAACACTGCAGCCATTTGTTGGAAGGTAATAACACTGATGCTCCCGCTGCTGATGGAGGCTCTATTTTGAGCTACAGATGGTTTATATATATATATATATATACAAAAGGGAAAAAAGAGAGCAGTGGGTTCTCATCAGTGCTGTGGTTCTGCATAAATTTAGTCTTTGCTGTAGCAGCTATAGCTTCAGCAGCAAAGCTCATATAAAATGTTTGCCGGCTGCATTCCACAGAGGTCAGAGTTTATTTGCTTCCATGTATGGTGTTTAGATTTCATCCCGATGTGATTTGCATGTGCTGTTAAAAATAAGACGACCACGGAGGAGGCTCAAAAATAACAATCCACTGTCGACCCGAGAGAAACCTTTAATGCTTAAATCACCGTGTGAGTCAGCCTATGTGAGAAAACATTAGTGTGACCTGAATAGGGGGCTAAGATGAAAAGAAACACACTCTACAGTTAATGGAGAGGGGTTCAGTGACAGGGAGGGGAAAGGAGAACAATACATGCAGAGAAAACACAYATGAAGCTGCAGGTCGTTGTTTGACAGGCCAACATAAGATTGGACTGAAGAAAACC